GGATAGCACGAATCATCTCCCCTGTGTGGCTTTGACAGTCAACTAGTCTGACAGAGGGCCCTTTATCCATGACCCATGTGGAGCATGCAGTACGACGGAGGTGCCAATTCGATCGGAGGATGTCCAGGGTGCCTTCTTAGGCCGAAACTCAATCTGACAAGTAGATAACTCCATCCAATGAAGATATTCCTTGACTAGGATAGATGGCAGATCCCCTTCAAAGATTTCACCTGGTAACAATTCCAAGACCCGACAGCTCTTCCCATTAAGCGCAGGGGATCTGCTTCGTAGAGCGAGCCTTCCATCTCGCCACCCAAAGTGAATTGCCTGTTTAATGGTGAGAATTAGTCAAGTCCGTTTCCTTCATCTGCCTCGACGAACCTCATCAGTATCCTTGGTTTTGAGCTGAGACTCGTGGAACATGTGAGCCTTGCTAACATAGTCCATGTCTTCCATATCCGATGGAACAACTTCCAGGTTTCTCTGCAGATGAACCGTTAATCGGCGGGTCTTACTGGAGAGCATAGTCCCATACTGCACCAAAGAGTTCTTTGTATATTGGATGCCCGCGAATGTCAAACGGCAACCGACCGGGTGATTTTCCATCAATGAGCAAAGCACCACATAATACGTTGAAATGAACGTTTTGTGTCCTTTGGCCATTTACGGTAGTGGTCAACCAACGGTCGTTAGGTCTTGGTAGCCTTGTCCAGCAATATGTTGGATCGATGCCACTCCAAACAGCTGATATCGCTTTGTTAATACCTAGTATGGTCCCCCTTTCCTGGATGCGGGTAACAAGAAGTTCTTCCATCCTGCAGGACAGGCGCTTGTCTCGGAGAAGCAACTGATGCAAATGAGGGTCTGCATCGGTGAGGGGTTCTTTGGGAGGATGACTGCAAAGCACAATAGCACATTCAATGAATATGGCGACATCTTCCGGAGTTCGAAGCAGCGATTTAGCATGATGCGCATCGACATCAAATGAACTCCTACAAATCGCGGCTGTTTGATATATTGCTTCATGATATCTGTCTCGTTCGGTTTCGGTTTCGGCGTGTGATTGAAGTACCAAAAGTTCGTGCAACCAGCGCAGAGTGGTGTCTCGCATATTCTGAAGTATTGTGTGCGTTCTGTTGATGATCGGTAGTGCCACAGCCGAGGCCAACAGTCGAGAAGCCAGTGTAGTAACAGTCAGTGCTGTGACACCCAATCAATCAACGGGCACAATGCTGGGCCTACGCAGTCAGCTGGTTTTGCGCTGGAGCAGAGATCTCGCTCTTGGCGTGGAGTTCAATCATTTGAGGCGTGTCATAATCCCGACGGGGGATGTGTCTATCGTAAGTGATGGTGACCACGTCACTGTTACGGTTGGTGACTCGGAATCGTCACGCGCCAAATATTGTGATTATGACGTTGATGTCGTACTGGGTCGTCTAGTTGGAGATGGAAGCTTGCCCAGCATATTATTCCAGTCACTTCTTCATGCCGTTACTAGTTACTGCTTGCCTGATCCTCTCATGTCATTGTCAGGAGTCGAGGAAGCGATCCAAATCCTCCGCTCAGCACGTTGCAAATCGTTGCAAAGTCTCGGTGACTGGGAGCGGCAACTTCTGCATCAGTTATCGGCGTTAACGCCACCAAGGATCGGGGAACTGCCCGATCGACTGCTCAGTCGACTGCTCGATCAACCGCCCGGCCGACCTGGGTCGTGGAAATGGGAACGAGGATATCGGCAATGGGAACGCGAACGGGAACGGCAATCGCAACGGGAATGGGACCGGGAACGGAAACAGCAATTGGAATGGCAATGACAATGGCAACTACGACGGCAACAACGACGGAAGTGGGAATCGCAATCGCAACGGGAACGGAGATTGCTATCGGAATGGATACGGGAAATGAATTTGAGAAAGCTTTGGGAGCATGGTGTCGGAGAAGTCGTTTGGAATGAAGCGCTTGGTCCGCTTGTCCAACACTGTGCCTTTTGGGATGAGGCCCGATCTATTTTCAAATGGGTTGACGGAATGAGTGTCGTTGATCCTTCCATACGTTTCGGAGGATCGGAACGTCATTCGGGAGAACTACGTCTGCTCTCCCGTGCTGGATGTCGCAATGCAGTCTGGTACGGCCCAGATCTTCCATCGGCCATGCGGGGTATAGACGTGATATATAAATCCAGGGACGCTGACAAAGGACTCGATACCACCCGTATTTGTGCCGCATCGAGTGTCTCTAGTTTGGTATACCATTGCCCTCGTCGGCTAAAGACACCCAAAGACCTTTCGTCTCGCTTGTCTCGCATTGGATGGTGGAGGGGGGGAGTGCCATCCCCGATCACTTGTCGGATATGCATTTGGCACTCAGCAAGGAATGGCTGCGTCTGAACATGCGGGACAAATGGATACCTTTGTACAATGCGTGTCGAACAGAAGAATGGGGAAACCGTACTCGTTTCAAATTGATGTTTAGTCTTTCGGCACTGCGCTACTCTGATCTTCAATGGGAAGATTTGGTCCCTGTCTTGCTTGCATTCACACGCTACTCCGAGTTCCATTCCATTGATCCGCCACCGTGGCCTCGATACGATTTGGATATGGACTATAAACTAAATACATTCCGCCTCGAAGATGCCATTAGGGGATCCCTTCCACGCAAAAGTTTTTCCCAAACATTTTCTCAGGCTTCTTTTCTTGTCAAAAACTTGATTGCTCAATGGGATCATGAACCCACAGGAGCGCCGATATTACCAAGTCTGCCGAATGGCGATGTGTGGCTGATCGACACCTCTTTCGCTATGGCCGAGGTGACTAAGTTGTTTGAATCGTGGTTTAGAAACTGGGAATTACGCCAGCACATTCGGGCAGTCCAGACGGTGCTGGACAAACACCGGACTCGGACTTCAGATACTCCGGTTCTACCGATATATTCGTTTTCGACCTCCTTACAACTCAGAAAAGTGGAGCCGTCCATCGTATCATACAGTGACGTCTTTCTCCGACGACCTCCGATTCTTGCGTGTCCACCTTCCCCTCTGGAAACGGAAAGATGGTTGACCATCAAATCGTCTTCGGAACGCAATAATCTCAAAGCTCTCATTTCGACTCTCCTGTCATCCCACGATCCGATATCCCAGAAATATAGGGCTGATCTCGAGGGTAGTCGCAATGCATTGCATCACGATGTACAAATCAGCGCGGAGCGGGTGGAATCCCTCCAAGAAGAGCTTTATCGCGATCACCGGATGCACCGATCTCATCTCGCTCACGTGTTGGGGCAAATCGGACGAGCGCTCAACCCAGATCCTCAGTCAGAGCAAGTACAGGAGGTCATGTAGGTTGCAGGACTATGGCCGAAGAGCACCACTCGTTCATTGCTGCACCACCTATCATTCTCATCGCGTTCAACCGTAAACTTATCCCCCTAATGAAGAATGTCCTCGTTTGCCTCGCCCAGTTCATACTGCTTTGGCAGCGATCGGGGAGATTGGTGAGATTGGGACCCCAAACCGATGAATTTCTGAAGGAATGTTCGAGTTATCCTGAGCAACGTAACTTCGAAAGGAACCCGTTGATTATCAACTTCTTCCTCTGTCAGGTCGTTTTCCCAAAAGAAGCCAAGACATTTCCTCAAAAACTCTCCGCATCCGGTTGGAACATCGCCGAACGAAGGCAACACATAACAACGGGTCTTAGTGGCACCAATGACAACCGCTATCTTCTCCCCACTTCTATTGAACAGGATGACATCCCTGCGCAATTGAGTACAAATGCTAAGGTGTTGAATATGATCCTCCAGCCTGAGAACGATCACTACCAAAGTGCAGCGAGTAGCAAGTTTCTGGACCTCATCGTCAAGGAGACCCCTCAAATCCGAGTTTTGTTGGATGTGGGCGCTCAGATGTTAGAGTACTCCAATAAGGAATTGGCATCGATATGGCTTTCGCAAATCTCTGCAGTGGATATAGATGCTGCGATCTTCTTCTCCGAAGATGACGAAATCCTCGTTATTAGGCGTGATGGAGTGACGGAACCGTTCATCTCATCGTCATACAGACACCAGCTTGATCGCTGTCTTGTGCACCTGGACGATTCCCATACAAGAGGCACAGTTGCCCGCCGATTATCGTGCCGCACTTACACTAGGTCCGAAAGTGACAAAGGATAGACTAATTCAAGGTGAGCCTTTCTATTACTATTAAGACGTAATCGAATCAGCAAGTATTTCTTCAGGATGTATGCGAATGCGCAGGCTGGGTAAGGGACAATCTGTCTTATTTCTCGCCCCTCCAGATGTGGATCGCAAAATTCGCAAGCTCTCCAAAAAGATCCACGGAGAACGAATTGGTGTATACGACGTTCTTTCCTGGTCCATCAAGGAGACATGTGTCAGCCTAAGGCGTGATAGTTGTGATTGGAGAGAGCAAGGCATCCGTTACATGGACAGGCAATGTGCATGGAAAGAGTTTGGACATCCCGCATCGGTCGCACCTCAGTGTTAGAAAAATATTGGTTGAGACCCGAGTTGAAGTCTCTTGAGGAAATGTATGGGGTACCATTGTCCTCCGGGCCACTGGGAGAGGAACCGTCACATCCCGCAGCCGATTGGAGCGAGATCAAGCAGAAGAACGAGACTTTCTCATCCTCCACAATGAGTTGGCTGGTGAAAATGGCAGAAGAGCAGGAACGCGAAGTAACCCACGAGCCTAGGCGCGAGCTGGAGGCCGAGTCACCACCTTTACAGCCTGCCCGCCATCACCTCCATCCTGATGTTGTATCATTCGTATGCGATGGTCAAATCCCCACATTTTCATCTCGCTCTTTTCTTCAATCACAATCCTCCCTCGGTCTCAGCAAGACACCAAGTGGTCACGCAACCTTCTTGCAACCAGCGACTTCGTCACCGCAATCAAGGATTCGACTGCACGGAAAGGCAACGAGTTTCTTCGGCCTGTCAACTGGATACTGTCTAGTATTCACGGATCGATGCTCGTGGTGTGCAGTCCTTTTGAGGTGAATGAGTTGCTCCCGGAAATTCGCCGCAGTGGCAACGTCAGGTTGCACATGTACTCTCCAAGAACAAGTCAGCCGATGAGGTCCTTCGATGATCTCAAATTTTACACAATTCCATCCTTACCGGCGACGTGGACTTACTCGGAGAGGCTCACAGTCTCGCAGCTCAATATATTCTCAGGCCAGTTATACATCAACGACTTCGAAACGTATCTTGAACTTGGCAATTTTCTGGGAATCAACACCAGTCATGATGGTAGGAATGAAGTAGAAACACAAATTGATGGTTTTGTCCTACCCAAGAAGCGTACCCGGGAAATGAGATTGGTCTGCCCTTTTAATACCAGTTGTCTGCCTTTCATCCGCAAGCTAACGAGTCTCCGGAGGGAGGGTACTCATCTTGGGCGAATTGTTGATGGAGCATTCATACCGCCAGAGGAGTTTTGACCGACCATTACTGATCGTGTGTATAATCGTCCAACTTGCACATTCGCAACTAGGCGTATATCGAGCCAGAGGTACTCACTTCACAATTGTAATGCTCATTTTCCGGCAGTAATGGGTGGGCGGCGGATAAATGAATTTGCATCATGAGGTCACAGCATCCCAGGCCAGCTGAGTTGCTCATCCGATCGATCCAGTCCCACTGACAAACTGTATATGATATATTGTCAGGAGATATCGCACACTGGTGTGTACACCAAGGATCCCACAGTAATCCTACAGTGCTGATGCACCTGGCATAGGAGGGCGGCTATCCGAGTTCGCAGACCGGGTGAAAACAAAGGATGAGTGGCAACACAAATGGAAATGAGAAAGGTTGGATGGCGATCACGCCTCAAAGCACTCCCGCCTCCCAAAGCAAGTGTGTGCGGTCCGGGCACCTTGCCTTCAAGGCAACCTCTGTACCAGGCAACCTTGGACCCTGACCACCGGTGGCGTTGGGCTGCAACTTTTAACAGCCCCATTTTGTTCATATTCTCCCCCGAGTTATCGGTCTACTAAAGAAGTTTAAAAATCCTGGCAACCCTGGGGCGATGGCAGAGATGTGTTGGACAGAGGAGACTGTTAAGCGAGCAAAAGGCAGTGG